AAGTACGATTTTGGTTAAATTACCCCGGAGTTCCTAGACGCATATATTGAATTCATGTATACATGTATTACGAAGATTACCTGCGCTTATCACCCTCGGAATTAATTCACATGTTATGTGGGATAGCATCTAGAGCTAAAGGTGGAACAGTCGAAAATCTAACTTAACGGACTGAATATTATCGGAAAACTAGGTTATACTATCAGTACATGAACTGTTGAAAATAAAATAAGTAAATTTAGAAAGGGATAACTTGTAAAATAAGTCGAAGCTACCCTCGAGACATGATCGCACTTGAAGCAAGCTCTTGAAAATATAAATACCTGGTATGCAGAGTTGATCTGTTCGACGGTTGTGCTCTAGTAGAAATCAAAATGAGAGGCACGCAAGTCGTCGGGTATGTCTTTCGTAGTACCCTTTGTTGCGCAAATTTCGCAGCTGTGTAGAAGACGGTTCCCGAAAACCTATGCTGTGCTGTGTATATTTTTCTGTTCCAATTACAAAATCGAGAGATCATAATTCCTGCATTCCAATTAATATATATATATATACATATATATATATATATATATATACAGGAATCTGTATATATATATATAGGGTTGGCCATATTCGACGAAAGGATGTGGCAACACTGTAACTTTTGACAGAGATGATCGAGTAATAACGTAGCGCGTTTGAAGCATCAGTCTAAGGACATTTTTGCAATGGAGCAGTACCCTCCACGCGAACGCTCTCAGATTGTTGAAATTTACATTCAACAAAACTCAACGTGCATGGAGAAAAATAAATGAAGTGAAAACTGCACCATCCGCAACTACATTATATCGTTTGAATGAAAGATTTTCATCAGGTGAGGCACTCACTAATCCCAAGCGTGTAATGTCTAAAAGAGTAATAACACACAACGCCGGCGCGGTGATGATTTCACGTAATTCTCCCCAGTTTTTCGTAATTTATAACTTTGAACATAACCTCGCTTCAGAAAGCACAACATATAAATAACCCGTCATATTCGGAAAATTCACTAATGATTTTCTCACACAGCAAATATCACTGATTTTATACACATGCAGACCAATACACATAATCATCCAGATGCGATCTTGCTGTTCACCCAACTTTCTTCTCAGAGATAGAGACTACAGATCACTCAGTCTCACAAAACTATGCAACCAATAATGCGTAGTTAGTTGAGTGATTCCTTCATAGATGGACGTTCACAACGATCCTAGTGAGCAAACGTGGAATGACTGTTTGCGCCCTAAAAACTACCTAGTCTGCAAGTAGATATCTTACAGGTTTTTTTTGACGTTTTCTGGTTTCTTACATGATATCCGTGCCGGGGGGTTGGAAAGCTATAAGCTGCTACCACCAAAAAATTGACATATGCTCTTGCCCACCCCCTGCTACCCCGACATCCAGTGTTTGACTCCTGCAAAAAAAAATCTGAAAATGATCGGGGTCCTTTCATTTTTTGGGTGTTGCTCCGTTGTCATTGTACCGATTTTCAAAAAGTGCAAAGCCTTCTAGTACTTGGCATAGTAGTAACCTTGTGTGAAGGTATCGTCAAAATCTGAGAGGGAAACAAATTTTCGCCATTACAATCTATATATATATATATAGGGTTGGCCATATTCGACGAAAGGATGTGGCAACACTGTAACTTTTGACAGAGATGATCGAGTAATAACGTAGCGCGTTTGAAGCATCAGTCTAAGGACATTTTTGCAATGGAGCAGTACACTCCACGCGAACGCTCTCAGATTGTCGAAATTTACATTCAACAAAACTCAACGTGCATGGAGAAAAATAAATGAAGTGAAAACTGCGCCATCCGCAACTACATTATATCGTTTGAATGAAAGATTTTCATCAGGTGAGGTACTCACTAATCCCAAGCGTCCAAATAAGAAGCGACCAAGGCGATCGGATGAAAATATCGCACTCGTACGGACACGTCGATCTGAGCAGTTGGGCATAAAACGGACCACTTTACGTCGCATATTGCGTCATGATTTGCATTTGTTCCGATACAAAATTCAACTGATGCAAAACCTGTTACCTGCCGATAAGCCACGTCGTTTGGAATGGGCCCAAAGAGTCATCGAAATGGCTGAAAGTGACGATCATTTTTGGCAAAAAATCATCATGAACGATGAATCATCTCATTTCATGTTAACCGGAACCGTAAACAAACAAAATTGTCAGTTCTATGGTACTGAAAATCCTCAAATTATTCCAAAAGGTGACTAGTTGGTGTGGTATTTATGCTGGTATGGTCACTGGGCCGTTCTTTTTGGAAGATGAAGCTGGCAAAGCAGTTACCGTCAATCAGGAGCGTTATCGCGATATGGTAACCGATGTCTTGATGCCAATTGTTCGTGACAATGGTATGGAGCATTTCTGGTTTCAACAAGACGGCGCTCCACCACACACAGCCCAAGCTCCTATCGATTTTTTGAAACGATTGTTCCTTGGACGTCTGATGTCGAAAAATGGTGATTTTGACTGGCCACCGCGTTCACCAGATTTAACGGCTCCAGACTTTTTTTTGTGGGGCTACTTGAAATCGAAGGTTTATGTCAACAAGCCAAGGACCCATGACGCACTTAAGGCCAACATCCGACAGGAAATAGCCGCCATATCAACCGAAACATCGGCTAAAACGATGGAAAATGCGGCACCACGGGCACTTTACGCTGTACAGGCTCATGGCGGTCATTTTAGAGATATCGTTTTCAAAAAATGATGTTCACAAATCTACTTGAACCCAAATGAATGATTTTTGAAATGAACAGTTAGAAATGTGTTTTTTCCTATGATTTAAAAAAAAACATCTTTTCGTCGAATACGGCCAACCCAGTATATATATACATATATATATATATATATATATATATATATATATATATATATATATATATATATATATATATGATTGTTCATACTGTTAAGGAAATGCGCATAATGTATGTATACTTAAATTTGATTTACGACCTCGGTATAGCACGTGTGTCCATTGCATACTCTAAAACACGTATTTAGGTTAACAAAACTCAGACAGAGAACTTTGATATACGAGTCAAGGTGAACAAATTTGTGTATTAGTAGTGCTTACGGAGGCGGATGTTTAGTTCGAAATGTTCCTTAGTGGAGCTATAAAAAGAGAATAAAAACAAATACATCTGACGAGACTCACACATTTCTAATGAGGTCCAAAAGACTGAGCGCAGGGCATCCTTTGTTCCAAAAGTCTCTGAAACTTGTCCCTTGGTTTTATATATATTATATTCATCTATATTGTCCCGTTCATCTGAATCATATATTTACTGGTATAGTAGTCTGCATGGGCTGAGGATAAAAAATCTAAATGGAACAATATTGCGAATAGTGGATGTAAACTGACATCAGCATGAATCTGGCGGCTGAAGTTGTGTGGAACTCAAAGGAATGACGAGAACGTGTAAAGGCGAGCATTTAGCGCCTCTAAGACTGTTAAGTAAATTGATGGTGATTGTAAAAGTCTAATTATCGCTGCCGTTAGTGCCTGTTTACTTTGTTGCGACTTTCGCGCCGAATGCCGGTATGTCTAAATTATATACCGGGCGATATTTTTATACCTTAAGGGACATATTGTTGGGTAATTATTGTGATTACGTTGTTGCTGATGGATCTTCCATTGACCAATGAATCATGACTGTGGTTTCATGAGGAGACTTAATATACATATTTTTGTATCGCAATTGTGCATGTTTGTTCTGATGGCTGAGTAACATAGTTTGAAGCTAGACACCGCCATCTTCACGGACGCTTTGTTTACTTGAAGACCATTTTGTAATATTCATAACTGGCTATTATTATTGTGAAGAAAAGAAAAACTGCACGGATTTCCCTCAAACAACGTTGATGTCGTTTTTCAAGTTTCTGATCGTTATTCGCTTTAATCTTTGGGTGTTGGTGTTGTCACAAATAGGTTGTACATCCTTGAACATGATATTCCACAGTTACAAGATTAAGGTAGATAACGTGTTTCACCCACTGGGATAAGTTTTAGTCGAAGAATGTTTGTAGGAATTCAGAAAATATTGACAAGCCATCTGAGTTTTATGAACAGTGATGCTTGAGGGATGCTGTAGACAGACACAACATCTTACTGGGATGTCTGGAGTAAAAAAGTGTGAAAGGGTAATTAAGCATCTGCTTCGCGTTCGTGTTGCGGTTACAGAACTGCCATCTGCAACTTTGAACTCAGAGAAAAAGTTGGCATAAATAGAGATCCTTAATTTAAACTTTGCGAGCCCAGAGTTTGTGTAAATATTTTAGCCTCGATTAAGAACGCTTGGACTCTCATCTCGGCTTCCGGCACAGTCTTAAATAGTTCATTAAAAACTGTAAGTCCACGCGCTGCTGATGTAACTGGAAACTTCATTCTGCCGCTCCTTTTCGTAATTTGTCCCTGACTCTGATTTTCGCTTTACTTTTATTTTAACCATCTGAATTCGTTCCGCGTCACCGGATTAACACCCTCTGACGTCGAGAATTAATTTTCTTGCTCGGTAGTTGGGCGGAAAAGTTTTTGCTACAACGACAACCGACAGACATTGGCTGATGCAGGAGGTACAAGATACGGCGACTGGCATAAAGAAAAGAAATACTCAGAGAAAAGTCGATTCATCGGAGAAAGTGGCCACTGAAGTTGGAGGTATCATAATAGTCACCGATGATAAATCGAGATAGACATATCTGTTTGCAAAATTTCCATTCCAGACATCCAAATGTACGGTATTCTAAGCTGTTGCCATGATTCACACATTGAACTAACGTTTGTTGTCGTAAATCGTTGATTTATATATTTTAAAATTCAATATATAGGGTATATTTATATAGGGTAAGTGTGGGAGAGATGCCGCGTAGGGATAGACGCCGCAGGTCACGTGGTACGCGCATGTGTTTAGTGCAAACGCTGGCAACTGCGATATTAGAAGCCAGTGGTCTTACGAAGGTTGATTATGTGGTTGGTGTGTTGTTTATTTCACGTTCAAAATTCAACAATAAACCGGTAAGTAGATACCTTTCGCTCCGTTAAATTTTATAGGGTACTTTTAAACATATTTCGGATCGAAGCGGCCGATATTTGTATTATTCGGATTAGATTGGCTGCCTTATCGACTAATGTGTTCATATTGGGTTATGTTTTCATTTTGGATCCTCATCACGTTTCTCCCATCGAAAAGGGAGAGATGCCTCAAACATACGTAACATGGAACGGATTCCTTGAAAAGTCAAATCAACTTTTATTCAAAAAAAGCTTAGACATACAATTCGGTACTGTTGCAAGTTGCGCTCGGCTTGTTTGAGTAAAACATTGATATATAAGGTGTCTTGAACAGTTGATATTAGGCGTCTTTTTTAACGGAAACCAATAACAAAAAAGAATTAATAATATTCTACAGGCTTGATAATGCTAAGGAAATATACGCAAGAAGCCTCTGCCAAATCAAGAGGAACATATACAGATGAACAACTAGTCACAGCAATCGAAAAAGTCAAATCTCAAGAGATATCGCTAAGAGAAGCCGAACGAAGATATGGCGTTCCAGCACGTACTATTGATCGTAGAATTAAATCTGGAAAGCTTACAAAGGGTCCTTGGACCTGAAGGTAAAGTTTATAATAGTTTTTCAGACATTATTGGTAAATGAATAGATTTTTTTTCCAGGTGTACTTGGACAATCAAACGAAAGGAGGAAGGTGACCCATATTAAAAAATTATGTCAAGCTGGATTTGCACCAGGCCGTATCACAGTTCGAAAAATGGCGTTTCATTTTGCCGAAAAACTTAATATAAAACATACATTTTTAAAAGAAACTGGAAAAGCTGGAATCCAGTGGCTTAGGTCCTTCATAGAAAGGAATCCGGACCTATCAATTCGTCAGTCAGAGGGATTATCATTGGCCAGAGCACTAGGTATGAATCGCCTAGAAGTAGCCAACTTTTTCAAACTTTTGAAACATGTTTTATTGGAAAACAATCTGATTGACCGCCCATCAAACATTTTCGACATGGACGAAGCTGGAATTCAGCCCATAAATAAGCCAAGCAAAGTTGTTGCACCCAAAGGTGCAAATGATGTGCAAATTTTGACATCCAGAGAACGGGGAGAAAACGTGACGGTTATAGGATGCTGTAATGCTGGAGGTGTGTTTCTTCAACCAGTTTTAATTTTGAAAGGAGTAAACCGAAAGCCTGAATTTTCAAATGGTTTACCAGCGGGTTCCTCCATTTACATGACCAAAAAAATCTTCCTTTATCACATCAGAACTCTGAAATGGCTCAGGGAGCATTGTATTCCGAGAAAGCCTCCAGGAAAAACTCTGCTCATCATCGAACATTCATTACATTGTTCTGACCTTGAAATGCTAGAAATTGCAAATTAAAATGATATTATTTTATTATGTCTGCTTACTCATTGTACACAGGCAATGCAGCCTCTGGATAAAAGTTTTTTTGGACCGTTAAAGTCTTATTGGAACCAGGAATCCAACACTTGGATGATTAATCATCCTAATAGAAACCTAACAAGAAACCAAGCAGGAGAACTACTTGGAAAGGCTTGGATTCGGACAGCTACAGCAGCAAATGCTATATCTGGCTTCAAAAGTACTGGCATATTACCTTTATGTGATACCAGACCATTTTTATGCTATATCGCATTTATCATCAAGAGAAATAAATGGAAGTAGTTCCACGACTGAGACACCACCAGAGGATTCATGGAATTTGAACCAGCAATTTTTAGAGCCCCAACCTAGTACTTCAGGTATAAATTTGAATAACACAAGAGAGAAGTCCCCAGAATCCCAAGGCATCGCTTCCAAAAGTTCCATTATCCTTTAGTAAAAGAAAGCAATCTGCTACATTGCTTACATCTCCAGAAAACATCCTTCTAAAGAAAAACAAGCAGTAACAAGTAAAAAAAGCAAACAAAAACATTTTGATCACGATTGAAGAGAAGGAATAAAAAAAAAACAAAATCTAAACGTCAAAAAAGCCGGAAAATGGCAATTGACCGTGATCATGGTGGTGAGTAATAATTCAAGTGATGAGGAACCATTAGCTAGAAAAATAAAAAAACGGGAACTAACAACTGAGAAGAAGCAGATGCACTCAAGACCTGAAGCTTACGAGGAAAAATCCTTGAATAAAGTAGAAAACTCTGAAGAAAATTGGTTTTGCATAGAATGTTTTGAACAATATAGCCATACAACAAAGAAAGTAGATTGGATACGTTGTGTAATCTGTCAAAAATGGTTACATGAGACATGCACTATGCATACGAACACCTGCAACATATGCCAGCGCGAGGAAATGAAAAAATACGTGTTAGTTAATACGGCGTCTCTGCCATAAGAAAAGTTACACGTGAGCAACTCTCCCATACTCTGAAGGACAGACGCCTGACAACAAAGTTTTGGGAAAAATGTTTTTTTGGTTATTGGAATTAAAATCTTTATTTTTTTTATATTTTTGTATATTGTAGATCAACTAAATGTACCTTTACCATTTTAGTAAGAAATATATTATAGAAATGTCCATGTGACTTAATACAGCGTCTTTCCCATAAGAAAAATTACACCTAGCAACTATCCCTCTAAATGTGAGCATCTCTCCCATACCCTGGGGGACAGACGCCTGAAAACAATGTTTTGAAAAACTTTTTTTTTTTGGTTATTGGAATAGTAATTTATTTTTAGTTTTTTATATTTTTGTATATTGTAGATCCCCAAAATTTAACTTTGCCGTTTTTGTAAGAAATATAATATAATAAACGTCCATCACACGATTTTATTTGTAAAAGTGTTGCAACTGTCACAAACTTACCCTACGTCTTAAAGTGCAATGCTCCAGCGGCCAGTTGCTGTGTTAGCAAGGCACACAGTCAGCAGACTGGAGAAAAGGGCATATATTTTTATCGGTAAGCGAACTTAAAAATTCAGGAGGCTGGGAACTCCAGTGGTGTGAGGTTGCCGTCCAATGAATTCACGATTTTACTCAAAGTGGATATTTTAAGGTCAACTTGAGATTTGAAGTACTACCTCTACTCTTTTAGGCTGCCTACTGACCCTTCAAGAGGATCTATACTATGGGTATTACTTATGGGGTTCGAGACACACTATTAGTTCACAAACACGATGATGTCTTATCAAAACATTTTCAAAAAAGCGATTTAATGATAATGGCTGAGTTAGGCATCTGCGATGTAATGCTGTTCCAGTTCCTGTCCATTCTGCTCTGAACTTAATCTCTTCGGGAAGCCAATTGAAATTTTCATTTGGAGGAGAACTTTACATTGTGAACGGTATGTACAGATTGATGCTTTGTCTCAAATTATAGACCCATATCAGTACTATCGAATATAGCCAAAATTTTCGAAAAATTACTACAAAAAAGGATATTACAATTTTTGGACAAAAACAAAATTATATGTTGTGACCAATATGGATTTAGAAAAGGAAAATCTACTACAGATGCAATTTTGGCTGCAATGGATGAAATTAACTCTAATGTCAACAAAAAGATACCTACTATTGGTATCTTTGTTGATTTAAAAAATGCCTTTGATACGGTTAACCATGTCGAGCTTCTGAAAGTTATGGAAAGATTGGGATTTAGGGCAGCGTCACAAATCTTTTTAAAAAATTACCTTTCAAGTCGGGCACAGACTGTCAAAATCATTAACACTTACAGTAAAAAAATTTACATCAAGTGTGGTGTGCCTCAAGGAACAGTACTAGGCCCACTATTATTTAGTCTCTACTTAAATGACTTATTCAAAATTAAGAGTTCTGGAAAGATTATATGTTTTGCAGATTACACCCTCGTATTATATAAAGCTGATGACTGGAGCACACTGAAGCAAATAGCTGAAAAGGATTTTATAAGGATCATTGACTGGTTTGATACTAAAATTTTAACAGTTAACTTCAAAAAAACAAAATTTATTGCATTTACATCCTATTCAAAATTTTTACCTACCTTCGAACAAATTTCCGTTAATTATCATGGCCAAAAGACCAAAATCGATAGAGTTAACACTTTGAAATATCTTGGAATATTTATAGACTCACATCTAAGGTGGGATAACCATATTAAATGTGTTATCAAAAAAATTAGAAATGTTGCCTATAAACTCAAAATGCTTGCTAACATTCTTACAGAAAGTTATCTGCGTATCCTATACCATGCCTTAGTTGAAACCCATATAATATACGGCATCACAGCCTGGGGTGCCGCCTGCAAGACATATATTTCTGACCTGAATATAGCACAAAAAACTGTTTTGAAAGCCATTTTCCATAAGCCAAGATTATATCCAACGAACAACTTATATCAAGAAACAGGGATACTTGATACAAGACAACTTTATTTCTTACATGCCACCACCTTATACCATAAGTATTGTAATAAAAAGAAAAAATCCTATAAACACGAGCATAACACACGATTTAGAATAGGCTCATCTAATATCCAAAGACCACACAAAACATTATTCAAAAAATAATTTAAATTCTTAGCAGCTAAATTATATAACGTAGTACCAAACGAAATAAAGATACTTAATTTTGGAAAAAAATTTAGAAGAAAATTGAAAGACTGGGTTAGTAATGTGCAGCGAATGACTATACATAATTATATAGAAAACTAAAACTACAAAATTCCAATTACATTAATACCTTTTAGATTTAACAATAATTGTTATACACATATATGATTGATTGTTAGTTATTAAGATATAAACCACACGCAGGCGATGCCTTCTGTGTTTTTTTCATATTTATTTGCCCATTTTTTGTATTTTGGCGAATAAATATTATTATTATTATTATTATTAGTTGATGTTCTGCTAGAACCGTTCTCAAACTTTTCATAAAAAATAAATGTGAACACAGTCTTGAAACTACAAAGACAGACTAAGACTGAGGCTGTCATCAAAGTGAATCCATAGGAAGTTTATTTGGTGTTCCAATTGTGAGTTTGCATCTTGTAGTTTAAAATTTAAGGGACTGAGCTTTTTTTTAGCATTGCCTTTGTGGTTACATAATAAAAAATATAGCACATATATTCAAATATTGCTCCTATAGTACTTACTTCAGAAAACTCAAGTTGCAAATGCTGGCTTTGATTATACATTCTTGCTGTGTGAAAGTTTCCTACAGTTTCCAACTCGACGTCGAAGGCTCAATAAAGCATTTCCAGTCGTAGTTTTTTTACTTTCTGAAGTTCTGACATCCTTTCAGATCTAATTACCAATTACCAACGTCTGACGTAATTAACAACGAGGCGTCCATATTTCGGCTTTGATCTCACTCATGACAGCTTCATCGGGAAGATTGATAAACAAGTTTTAATTCATCTTTCTGGAGATATTAAACAACTTCTGTGTTAATATTTAATTTCTGATTATAGGAGAAGATGCAGCATGTTTCTAGTTATTTTAGCAAAGATAGATCTCCTTTTACTTCCCAAGCCTGCTGGTAAGGATATACTGTAATCGCGAAAAACTTGTAAAATAAATTATTTTATATCACATGTACATCACAAAAAACCAAGCCTGTTATGTCCGTCGGTCTGTGGATCTCTCTGTAGGTCTGTCGGTTTGTTTGTCTGCTTACAATTAGCGCGTCTATAACTTGGAGGGTACCTCTAGGATTTTGATGAAATTTTTGCACGATATAGCTACTACCGCAAGTATAAAAAACTTTGAAATTTCTGAAAATCGGCGCGTTGGCGGCTGCATGAAGGGTAAAAATAAGAAATAAAATCAATTCAAATAAAATCATGGAAGAGTTAAATTGGTGGTCGTGGGTTGTCAGGGGGGGGTGTTGGAGGGTACATCTTTTGGCGGCAGTATGCTTATACGTTTTCAATTCCGATAATACTACGCTCATATAAGTACATGTTCCACACATCGTAGATTTCCCCATACATTTGGCCTTAAATATAAATATTTCGTCGGCGTTCTCGATCTGGAGTTATAGCATTGTGACTAGCGATAATGCCATAGTGGTTCACCAACGTTCCCAGATGGTCGACGCTTAGGGCAGGGAAGAAACTACCGTTAGCTTTACCCAACGGATGAGGACTATGGACTATGGAGTAATCGTATGAGCCTATTTGGCTGACTTGATCCATTTTAACTTTTTACATCCTACGCCTACTGGCTGGATCCAGAAATTTCCCCCTTGAATATTGACATTCGATTAGGAGAATAATAACGTTTTGCACTTTGGAACGCCTATGTTCCACGGGCCGTAGATGACGATATGTATGCCATAAACAATCTCTAGATGCACTTTTATGTAGATCACGGTATCTCTGACAATCTCAGTCGATTGTTTTCCAGGTTTGTTTTAGTTTGTAAGCCTTTGACCAGGTTTTTCGGTCTCTGGTCCATAGCTAAAGGGCATTTTTTTATTGGCATTGATATTGGCATGTCCAAGCTTTTCTTGTCAGGACGTCCATAAAAACGATAGATTTAGTAAACTGTATGAGAAAGGAAATGCCATTGAAATAACAATCAAAATTCCGGCTATGATCAAGCTCGTCTAACCTCCTTGGTAAAAAAGTCTTAAGTTCATTTTATATAAGACTTATGTGAGAACGGTCGCTTAAGGAAACACCGGCCCCAACAACTGTTTTATAGCTAAAATTAGCTTCGGAATGCGCACTTCCAGTACCATTTTCCTATTCGATTTATTGCTCAACCGAATGCAATAACACGTTCAAATTCAATTAATTTCGTTTGAAGAATTGTTTGAGAGAAACGATTAACTCGCGCGCGAAACGCGTTTGTTCTGATAAATAAAACCGATAGAGCCAGCTACCGGTATTGGAAGAAGCACTTTTCTACGTGACATGACCGGCATATATGTCTCAATGCAATTCTTTATCTTATGATTGCACCCATATCTTCGGATTTTGGACAGGGGAAGGCTTTTTTAAGCCTCTATAAGTTGGCCTGGTGTGCCAAAATCACGTAACCTCTTTTTTTCTATTTATTACTTATCAGTAATTTCTCCTCATTGATAATAGAGTACCCATTCCTAGGCCAAACCCCTTCTCAATGATTTCCTTTTTGCAAATTTAATAGTTTATTGATTATGCAATTTCACTCGTATTATATCTTTCTTTCTCAGCAAAAAACTCTGGAGTTTTTCTCCGTTAGTTGGCTTCCTATAAAGCATATATTCTTCAAGGCTCCTCAAGATTCCTTCCTCTAGAACAGAGTTCTCCAAACTTTTTTGTGACGTAGACCCCTTGCCATGTTTTTCCGTGTTGGGTAGACCCCCTACTTACCTGATATTTCCTGTAAATTTCTAACTGTAGTGAAGTTTAGTGTTAAAAACTTAAAGTAAAAACACATGTTAATTTAAACATTTATTAATTGAATTTAAATTAAAACTACTCAAAATAAAATTTTGTATCTGTTATGTAAAATATACGTAACATTAAATAAACAGGTGTCTGACTAATAAGTGGCGTCAATTTTGTAAGGGTTAATCTTAAATCTCCTCGGCTAATGATGTCCAGTCTGTTTTCCTCGCTATATTCCATAATACGGCATAAGTAACGGGTATGTTGTTTTGCAGCCAGAATTGCTGATAATCGTTTTTAAACTGAACCTTAAGTTCTTCGTTTGTACTTAGTTCAGTCTGTTCCTCTTGTATTATGACATTCGTTTCTTCTATGTCACCATATGGATTAATTATACACGGTGGTATTACCATAGTCAAAATATCCTCAAACCTAGATTCAGAATCTGAAAAGAGGGCATTTAAATGTTGAACGTAAGTTGAAACGTCGTCTACCTGGCAGCTTGTCTGTGACAAATTGGGGAACTGAGAAAATTCGCCCCGTCCAATATTTTGCTTCATTAGTTTAACTCTGGTAAGAAACGCTGATAAGATGGACTTTGTTTTAATCAAATTTAAACTGTCGCCTTGTAATTGCAAATTAACCATATTAAATTTTGTAAACAAATCTGTTACATAGGCGATGTCTGTTTTCCCCTTCATTAAATTTTCTTTTAAAATTCTATCTTTAGTATCCAGAAATTCTAAAATAGGTTCAAAAAGTGCAAAAAATCTTGTCAAACATAAGCCTTTCGACACCCAGCGTACTTCAGTGTGAAGGAGTAATTGATGAAAGTGTTCGTCATTTTATTCACACAACTGTGCAAATAACCGCGTATTCAACGCGTTGCTTCGGATTCGGTTTACTGCATCAATGACTAAATGAAGTGATTCATGCATTCTAACACTCAAATTTTTAGCAACTAAATGTTGCCGATGGATGACGCAATGTATTGCTAACACCCCTGACACATTTTGTTTTAAATAGCTTATAAATCCACGATAACATCCAACCAATGGCAGGTGCTCCATCTGTAGCTACTGATATTATATTTGATAAAGGAATTGCTTTTTCAATGAAGTAATCCTTCAAAACATGAAATACTGATTCACCTGTAGTGTCGGTTATCAAAGTTCTTACGAAGAGCAGTTCTTCGTAGATTTCTTGATTCATAATAAAACGAACATATGCCAATAATAATGCTGCATTATCAGGTAAAGTTGACTCGTCCAGTTATATAGAGAAATGGGTCGTTTGCAAATAATTACATAAGAAGCTTTCAATATCAGAAGTCATTTCATCAATACGTCTTTCAACAGTATTGTTGCTTAAGGGAATTCTTTTAATGATATCAGATGCAGCTTTGTGTAAAGCAGTTTTTAAAACCTCTTCAACGGCTGGCAAAATTAACTTCTCTCCAATAGTATGCGGTTTTCCGGATTCTGCTACAAGTAACGAGATATTGTAAGACGCCCGCAAACCATCATCATTTCCTTGTGACGTCGAAGCGAACATTCTGTCCAGTGTAGGTCTCTTCTGAAATTTATCTTTAAGTGTTTGAAAGTATTTCAAATCTTTCTCTGTTTTATCAGGGCGGCATCTTCTCAGATGATCTTGCAGTTTAGATGGTTTCATAGCGTCATTGCCCAAAACTTTGTTGCATAAAAGGCACATAGGCGATTGTTTGTCTGGCAATGATGAAATGGAGCAAATTTCAAATAATCAACGCTGTACTGTCTACATTTCTTTTTAGATTCGGACATGGCATTAGTCATCTGTGGGCAAAAGTAAATTATTTAAATAAGCAGCTGCATATTAAAAATATTTTTTGATTTCTCCGAAAACATTCCATAATTCCAACATCTTCTTTGCAACAATTAGCTCGAATTATGGAGATTGCACTGTAATTATATTACCGATTGCTAAAACTTTTTCAAAAAGAAACTATTGAGGAGTACTCGTGTAATTTTGCTTGATTGAATATTTAACTAATAATAACTGAGGTCATGATTGGCGTAATTTATCTATCTTTGCTAACTACGAGTACAAAACTAAAATTTAATAAAAAATAATGTACTTACTTTTCTCCAGCACTCTCAAACAAAATAACACTGACTCACTATAATTTGTGTGATATACTATCCGTTTATATTTTTTAAAATATTTTCTTAGCACTTTCCTTTTCAGGATTCAGGAAACGAATAAACGTATTTGTCCCACATTCGTATTTATAGAGTGACGAATTGAACAAGTCAGTGCAAGGTAGCGAAGCTCTGAGACTGCAACTCTCAGGCATTTACAAGTTCAAAATGTATTGCGACCACAAAGCGAATACCAACATCCTACAACTTACACAATTTTATAAACATATATAACAAATTTTTTACTTCATAGGTACTTTTATAAATAATGTATATGTTTTGATATTATAAGATAGTATGATGTAAGTAAATAGGTACTATCAGTGTATGTGTCGAGATCCACTATCGTGGACCCCCATATTCATTTCATGGACCCCCAAATTTTTTTTCGCTCACGTAGACCCCTTGCAGGTTGTCATAGACCCCTAGGGGTCGATATAGACCACTTTGGGAATCAATGCTCTAGAACGTTACGTATTCTGTGATTCGCTTTTCAGCTCCCGTTGAGGTCGTGGTGCAGGGGTCTTTTTGTCGTTTTCCAGACTCTGGGATATTAGGCCCCAAGCACCCATGCACGGACTAGCACCATTTTCTTTTTGTTGCGTAACTTAAGTTTAGTTATTTTCGGTGCTACGTCTTCCATTTTTTTATGGGATTTTGACCCTCCGCAAAACATAAAAAAATCCTCGTCTTTTCTCCCCCAGTCAATTGCATCGTTGCAGTTCTGCAAATTGGAAGCCATCCCTTGAAAAAACCCTGATGTGAACAGGGTTTTTTTTCCTGTTACATCAGCTGCTGCCCAGTGACGTCCCCACTACTGGCTTCCTTTTGTTTTTGTTGTTTTTGACCTGTGATACATCTCGGTTGCGCAGATAAGTGTAGTTTAGGCGTAAAACATTTTTGTAAAGAGTATACCATAGTAAACGCCAACTAGTTTTATTTTGCGACAGTGTTTTTTTTTGGTAATATCCTTTCTCGCACTAAAGTGGTGGAGCACATGTGTGTTTTATTCTTTTTAATCAATATATTGTGATCCATTTGATATCTTGTTTATTTGGCTCTCTCTCTGTGTACTGTTACTTAAATTTCGTCATCTCTGTTAGATTTTCCTTTTGTGTGGTGGTCAAGCAAAACAAGTTCCGACTAACATCTGGGGAAGTTGTGACTTAATCCGTCCTAGGTCACTGGCGCTCTTAACCTGGTAATTACAGACCATGCTTTGTTGTTATGGCTTCATAGATTAAAGGATCCCCAAGGTCGCCTTGCCCGTTGACTATTACGTCTTCAGTAGTTCGATTTTGAATTAATCCATCGTAAAGGAAAAGATCGCATAGTTCCTGACTTTCTCTCTCGAGCGGCACGCGTGAATATTGATTCAGTGTTTTGTTTTGACCCACCATCGTTTTCTCCGATGACTACCAACGATAAATGGTATTTAAAAATGCTCCAAAAAGGTTGAAGAGAACCCATTAAAATTCCATCTGTGGCGTACGCAGAACGGCATACTTTATAAGTTTATTAAACCATCAATCCCGAATCTTTTCTCCTTCGGATGATTGGAAGGCAGTGGTCCCAAAGGACAAAAGAAAGATTATTCTTCAGCGCTGTCATGATGTTCCAACTTTTGGTCATATGGGTGTCTTTAAAACTTTCGGTAAAATTCAGCAAACTTATTACTGGCCTAAGATGAAGGCTGATGCTGTAAATTATGTAAAACATTGTTCCTGTTGTGCTCAAAATAAAGTAGATCAGAAGTCACCAGCCGGTTCAATGGGCGAACGTCCGGACATAACAGAACCGTTTCAGAAGAAGGTTTTTGCTATATCCTTGTTATTTCAGACTACTTCAGTAAACCAGTTCACTTATTCCCTTGTCGATCGGCTAAAGCTAAATCCTTAGTTGAAATTGTTGAGTTTATTTCTGCTTTACGGAGCACCCATGTTTCTAACTTGCGACATTGGAGTTCAGATGAAATCTAAGGAATTTCAAGCATTGTGTAGAAAGTATAGTACCCGAATATTTTACACTGCCAATTACTATCCTCGTCCTAATCCCACTGAGCATGATAATCGAGTAACTAAGACCATGTTACGTACTTACGTCCGCCAGGAAAATCATAGGACTTGGGATGAACATCTTCATGAGATTGGTTGTGCTATCAGAACCGCGCCTAGTGAAACCACCAAGTATAGTCCATATTTTATTTTGTTTGGCAGAGAACACAAGCTATATGGAACTGATCATCTAGTCAAGTTACCATCACAAAAAGTTGATGTGAATTTTTATGTTAGAAATCGTCAGGAGGGTTTCTTGAAATTGTACCAACAAGTTCAGGATAAAACAAAATCTACAAGAACGCGGAATGCTAACAGGTACAATGTGCGTCGTCGTCCCATTTCTTTTAATTGTGGAGATAAGGTCTGGCGTAAAAATAAAATCCTTTCTGACGCCTTTAATTATTTTAGTGCCAAGTTAGCACCAACATACCTCGGATAATTTATATTAAGACGGAGGTGTGTCTCTTGGTCGTATGAATTTCAAGACCAACAGGGTAATCTTAAAAGCGTATGGCATGTTCAGGATTTAAAACCACATTGCGATCTATCTTCCACAGACACTACTGACGCCGAATAGCCAACATTGTTATTTACTTACCTTACGTTAGCCTGTTCAACTGCCTATAATATATTGCTGTTACTGATATCGTCGTATGACTCTCTATTATTGTACTTCTTTATGATATTGGCCCTACGAGCTAGGCCTTAGAATTTGTCCGTGGCGGGAAAACTGCCGGTGGTAAAAGTCCATCATGTGTCCACACTTTATAATATCTAAGCTCTACCATCCGAACAACCTGGCTTAGTTAAGTAAATCACTACCGTGTTGAGTCTTAATTGTTGGATTTTTCCACATAGCTGTTCCTATTATCGAGTGGTGATTTAGGTTATGCGATATACTGAATATTATTCTCCTTGTCTTTTACTAGAGGGATTAGTTGCTTACTCTTGTCTTACCTTGTCGCATTCATCCATCTACATGAAGGAGGGTAGGAGTTTGTCGATTGATAACTCCCTTTGTTCGGTATAATTCTTGAATTACCTTGCTTTATCTTATCTTGTCTCATCTTACGTTCTGTCCTGTAGAGTGGACAATTTGTTGGGTATGGGCAGATAGCTTGGCGGAAAAAATGATGTCTGCACATACTGCTGAATGTTATGCTAAACTTGACCTATTCATTCCTTGATTTAATTTACATATTTCAACTATCTTTTATCTTCGTGATTAAGTATTGATTACCTTGATTAGTTCGTTATCTTATCTTACCTTTACGTTATATCTTCTTGCTTTTGTAGATTCATGACTTTGGACGTGTCATAACTCATGTCCCAATCTTGATCTTATTATTACCCGATTTTGACTTTTTATACCGATTTTGAACTCTTATACCGATATTAACTTTGGTGTTGTGTGGTTTCGATCAATTTCTTTTTTTTTTGTAGTTTAGGTTGACTCATTAAAGGCTGTGTTGTGTTGAGTGCCGACGTGTGTCAGGCCCCATTTTGTTGCCCTTTGTGCAGGTTTGGTTCGGGAGGGTGTACGTTTGGGGGCGATTGGTTTGGTGGGCGTCTCAAAAACATCCTGACGATGCCAAACACCCCGTTGCTACTGCGTTACATCTCAGCCCCGCTCAGTATAGCTTTCTGATGGATCGTCGAACACATCACGGAACACAGTACTTAAATTTGTTTTTTTTTCTCTCTGTTTGATCGAATCCTGGTGCCTTGAGTACCTTTTGGCGTGATCTACCGGATTTCGTTTACTTAGGTGTAGAATATTTTTTTTGTTTTGGTGGGAATTTTTGTGTGAATTTGGATATTCTCTTTGATTCTGATAATCAGCTTGCTTCTTGTTCCTATAGGTTCTATGTAGCTCAGCGTTATTAATTATCGTCGGTTATCTACACTGCAGATACCCTCCTACTCCAATGAGAGGGGGGGGTGGGTCACGTGCCAAAACCACGTAACCTTCTTTTATATTTATCACTTATTAGTAATTAGATATTCTCCTCATTGATAATAGAGTGCCCATTCCTAGGCCAAACCCCTTCTCAATGATTTTGTTGTTGCAAATTTAGTAGTTTATTGATTGCGTAATTTCACTCGTATTATATCTTTCTTTCTCAGTAAAAAACTCTGCAATTTTTCTCCGTTAGTTGGCTTCCTATAAAACATATTTTCTTCAAGGCCACTCAAGATTCCTTCCTCTAGAACGTTACGTATTCTGTGATTCGCTTTTCAGCTTCCGGTAAGGTCGTGGTGCAGGGGTCTTTTTGTCGTTTTCCAGACTCTGGGATATTAGGCACCGAGCACCCATTCATGGATTAGCACCCTTTTCTTTTTGTTGCGTAACTTATGTTTAGCTGTTTTGGGTGCTACGTCTTCCATTTTATTTATGGGATTTTGACCCTCAGCGAAACAGAAGAAATCCTTGTCTTTTTTCCCCCAGTTAGTTGCATCGTTGCAGTTTTGCAAATTGGAAGCCATACC